GTCCTCGTCTCCAACATGGGCTTGCTTTAGTCACACCACTTGCCCACTTGCCTGCACCACTTGACCACTTGCCAACCTTCTAGGACTGCAGCTAGACTTCTAATCTACAGGTCTACAGATCGAATCCTGGCTACCTATAGACCTACGACAGACCTACTTACCACTGGCGGTTCTACAGGTCGCAGGTTCAATTCTTCGAGTTGACACAGGKATTGTACACAGGTAAGTTGGGGAACTAGGGATCGAGCCCTGGGATCTGCATCAGCTACTTCGAACTGGTGAATACCGTTTCAGTTACATCCATTCATGTATGAGTTTGTAAGGCATGGCAGTCACTTCGTATTCATAAAAATCTGGCTATTTGCAAGATATTGGAGCTGTATAACTCCATTGTTGGCTGAATCTGTAACTGACTTATGATGGTGATCGCGTATGTTAAATTCTGCACACATACAGCTCAGCTGAACTGGATGAGGTGCATTGCAGGCTAAAGAAGGTGGAGGCAGATTTTGAGCAGGTGTGTGGACTGCATTGCAATTTGTTCCTCCTCTCCTAGCTGCCAACCCATCCATGTTTGTCGTGGAAATAAGAGAAATCTATACATATCTCAAAGTTCCTCAAAGTTGGTGTGCGAATTTGTGAAACCACAAAGGTGAATGCTATGGCTGGAGTTTATGTCAGCTGCTGGATAGCGAGAAGTCCAGTGGTCACAGCCATCACACTATACACCAGACTTGGCTTGTGTGAGCGGTTGGACAGATAATACCACCAGCCGAGGGGTGCCCATCTCGCGCTGTGCGAAGCTGCAATTGTGAAGACAAAGCCATGAAGGAAGATGGTCTTTAGGAGGGAGGGAGGAGGTAAAGGAGGGAAAGGAGGAGGGGAACATGAGTGTAGGAAGAGGAGAGGGAAAGGAGGGAGGGAGGGAGGGAGGAGGATGGGCAAAGGGAGCAAGTACGGACAACGAGAGGAGACAAGGCAGGAGAGGAGAAAGAAGGGAGGGAGAAATGGAGAAAGGAGGAGAAGAAGGGCATGAGGAAGGTAAGGAACCGGAGCTAGGAGAAGATGGGCATGAGCAGAGGAAGAGAGGAGAGGGAAAGGAGACAGGGAGGGAGGGAGGGAGGGAGGGAAAAAGGAAAGAGGGATGGGCGAAGGGAGCAAGGACTGATGGATGGAAGGAGAGGAGGCAGGAGAGGAGGAAGAAGGAAGGACTGGAGAAAGGGAGGAAGGGTGGATGGAAGGACTGGAGGGAGGGAGGAAGGGGGGCTTAGGAAGGAGGGGGTATGTGTGAGTGTTGATCTGGGAAGGAGTTGTCCCTCTAGCGCCCCTAAGTGTAGTTTAACTTCAATGTTTGTGATAATGTGTGAGGGGGGAAGGGAGGAGGACATGAGCGTAGGAAGAGAGGAGAGGGAAAGGAGGGAGGGAGGGAGGGAGGGAAGAAGGAAAGACGATGGGCAAAGGGAGCGAGTACAGACAGACGGGAGGAGACGAGGCAGGAGAGGGGAAAGAAGGGAGGAAGAAATGCAGGAAGGGAGGGGAGGAAGAGGATGCGGAAGGTAATGAACCAGAGGTAGGAAGAGACGAGAGGGAAAGGAAGGATGGAGAGAGGGAGGGAGGGAGGGAAGGAGGGAGGAAGGAAAGAGGGATGGAAGAAGCGAGCAAGGATATATAGATGGGAGGAGAGGAGGCAGGAGAGGAGGAAGAAGGAAAGACTGGAGGAATGGAGGAAGTGTGGATGGAAGGACTGGAGGGAGGGAGGAAGGGACGCTTACGAAGGAGGGGGTATGTGTGAGTGTTGATCTGGAAAGGAGTTGTCCCTCTAGTGCCCTAATTGCAGTTTTAACTTCAATGTTTGCAGGAACGGGCACAGTATGAGGCAAAGCTGTTTCGCAAGGAATATATGCTAGATCTTCAGTGCCAGCTGATGGAGTACTGCAAGGAAGGCATCCCTGAGTTGAAGGAGACTTTTAACTCCAGCATTGAGGAGGTGCGGTGTCAATTGCAATCAGAGTACTTAAAGGTACTGGAAACGAACCAGGAACTTTTGCAGCAGCAGGAGGATGCTGAGAAAGAGCTCCATGCAGCATTTGCTGAATTGGAGGCATCATGTCAGGCACGGAATGACCAGCAGGACCAGATCAATGAATTGCAGAGTGAAATTGCTAGCCTTAGAGAGAAACTGACGTGTTTTCAAGAGATGCACCTTTGGGAAGAAGAGCTTGAGAATAAGGTGTGGTTTGCTCCTCCCGACCAACAAGTTTGAAAGAAGATCTTTGTCTGGTGTTAATTTGCCAAAAGCAAAAGGAGATAAGCATAATGCACACACTGAGTGCGAGGAGCTTGCAACGCCTTCCTTTCCTCCCTCCCCCCTTCCCTCCCTCCTCCCTTTGTGCCTTCCTTCCTCCCTCCTACCCTCCCTCCCTTCCAACGCCCCCTACTCTCTGCACTGATGGTCAGCAGCCAAAACAGCAGCCAAACATCAGCAAGTGGCTGCAAGTCTGTAAATCTGACATAAGCCTGCAGTGCTTCCTGCATGCTTGGTTTTCATTAACCATTGTGAATGTTTGCACTTATCCACGGTTTCCCCTGGACAGGGTGGTGGGGTTAGTGTCTTATTGGCCTTTGAAGGGGACAGCAGCTAACATCATTGTGTCCTTCGTGATCTGTGTGAAGGTTGATATGGTGTTTTCTCTCCCCCCCCCCCCTCCTCTCCATTTTGGACCATTGCTCGACCTGTGTATGTCATCCTTGCCCGCGGTCCATGCTTAGCTTCTCTGTATTGTTCCAATTTTAACGAATGTCGTGAAGGATAGATCTCATATTTCTTAATTTTCTGAATCAGGCGAGTTTTGCAGTTACAATGTTCCTCAATTTCCTTCATTTGTTATTTCTGAAGGTTGCTTATGAGCCGCTACCCGAGAGAAAGCGATGACAATGTGTGTGGCCCGTATAAGGTCTCGCAGTTCTACACGTGCTACAATCTTCCGCTAAAAAAAATTATGTTTCTCTTTCCTTTTTTAAAGAAAAGAAGAAAAAAAGGATTTTTTGTTGAGCGCTGGAAACCAGGTCCAGCATCGCTTTACAAAAACAAGTTGGCCCGCCGCAGCTACGCTGCGGCGAAGAGGCGGGGGAATGGGCGGAGGGGGGAAATCGGGGGGGCGATGTCGTCTGCTCTCTCTCTCTCTCTCTCTCTCTCTCTCTCTCTCTCTCTCTCTCTCTCTCTCTCTCTCTCTCT